CATGAGCTTAACCAACTTGCGGGCAAAACTCACGCAAACCGCGTACACAGTTTATATACATAAGACGCGCAAACTTTGCGCGCAAGGAATGTTATCTGGGAAGATAAGTTAAACAAAAAATGAATATTTTACTAGATATTTTACGATTTATGTAAAATTAAGAAATAATTTCAAGTCTCATAACTCGAAAACTACTTAATGAAAACTAACTTAATTATAGTGTTTTGGAAAGCTCTCGAGATGAACTATAAGAATATGTAAAAGCATATAGGGTGTCCTGTTTAAAAAATTGGATATGATCTTCACGTAACCTTTAGATGACTCTTCAATGTCAAACCAATGACACCACCTTATGTCCCCCTTCAAGCCATACAACTTTTGTCTGAAACATTTTTTTGTAGTTGGCGTAGTTTAGGAGAAATTTGGATCTATCGATTAAAATGGGACACCTTGTATACAGGGTGTCCTAGACCACCCGTACACCCGTACCCTTTTCTTTCAAAAACTAAGCATTTTAGAGAAAAACGTTTTCGACAAAAATTGTATGGTTTTGAGGGGAACATAAGATGGTGTCATTGGTTTGATCTTGGATGGCATCGTTAAGGTCAGGTCAAGGACACCTTTAATTTTTTAAATGGAATCACCTATTTTTTATTGCATATTCTTATAGCTTATGTCGAGAGCTTTCCAAAACACTATAATAAAGTATTTTTTTATTGAATACTTTTCGATTTATAAAGTTTAAAATAATATCTTAATTTTACATAAACTATAAAATATCTAGTAAAATATTTATTTCTCGATTATCTTACCTTAATACTTTTATGTACAAAATAATGAGAGGAATCAATTGGTCTAAAAAAAAACACATAATTGTTCCGAAGAAAAAATATGTAATTTGCAATTAACAATTACATATTTTTTCTTAAAAACAACTGTGTTTTTTTTTACACTAATTGATTCCTCTCATTATTTTGTACATAAAAGTATTAAGGTAAGATAATCGAGAAATAAATATTTTACTAGATATTTTATAGTTTATGTAAAATTAAGATTTTATTTTAAGTTTTATAAATCGAAAAGTACTCAATGAAAAAATACTGTATTATAGTGTTTTGGAAAGCTCTCGACATAAGCTATAAGAATATGCAATAAAAAATAGGTGATTCCATTTAAGAAATTAAAGATGTCCTTGACCTGACCTTAACGATGCCATCCGAGGTCAAACCAATGACACCATCTTATGTTCCCCTCAAAATCATACAATTTTTGTCAAAAACGTTTTTCTCTAAAATGCTTAGTTTTTGAATGAAAAGAGGTGTACGGTTTCTAATGACATATTGATTTGTAGTTATCCGTTATTTTTGCAATAAGAGTAGCAAAGAAGTTTGAAGGATCTGAATATCTATATAGTAAGCAAAGAGGACCGTCTAATTTTAATGAAATATGACGGGGGTGAAGGCGGGTTCTTTGCTCATTTATTTAGAGATGTTTAACATATAGTACAAAAAAGAGTGATATCCCTAAAAAATTACCCTTTTAAAAAAAAGGTAAAAAAAGGTGCTAAGTCCGCGTAAAAAACAGTATATATATTTGCAAAATAGTGTATTATTAACTGTAAAAAACTACTGTATTGTATATCCTACAAAAATAATGATATCAAAAAAGTTGCGCTAAGTGAAAATAAAAGCTTATAAAAATACTTTAACCAAAAAAAGTTATACAAAATAGCTGATTTAATTTTCTACATTATATCCTAGAAAAATAATAATATCCAAAAATTACGCTAATTGAAAATAAAAACTTAAAATAATTTAACTAAAAAAAATTGTACAAAATAATTGTTTTAATTTCATACAAATAATATTTAAAAGTTGCGCCAACTGAATAAAAATTTTTACTATAAAATAGACATATTTCTTTTTTATTTTCAATATTAAAAGAAAAATGATATTAAATGAATTGTAATATATCTATTATAAAAAATCGAATTGAAAATTTGAACAATCATATACATTGCAATAATATATCCATATGCATATATCCTGAAAAGTTTAATTAAAAAAAAAAAGAAAATGATAATACAAAATACAAAATTAAAAATTATTAAAAAAATTAAAAATTAGAAATTAATAAATAAAAAATAAAAATTTATATAAAAATTAAAAATTAATACATATAAAAAAAATTTAGTTAAAAAACTTAGCGCTGCTACGCTGAACAATGTGCTAATGAAATTAGCAGCGCTAAGTTTTTTAACTAAAATTTTTCACACAATAATGAGAGGAATCAATTGGTGTAAAGAAAACACATATTTATTTTTAAGAAAAAATATGTAATTTGCAATTAACAATTACATATTTTTTCTTTGAAACAACTATGTGTTTTTTTTACACCAATTGATTTCTCTCATTATTTTGTACATAAAAGTATTAAAGCAAGATAATCGAAAAATGAATATTTTACTAGATATATTACGGTTTATGTTAAATTAAGAAATGATTTCAAGCCTCATAACTCGAAAAGTACTCAATAAAAAAATATTTTATTCTAGTGTTTTGGAAAGCTCTAGAGATAAGCTACAAGAATATGTAATGAGAAAATGTAGGTTCCATTTAAGAAATTGAAGGTGACCTTCATGTGACCTTCAAATAACTCTTCAAGGTCAAACCAATGGTACCATCTTATGTCCCCCTAGAAACCATACAACTTTTGTCTGAAACATTTTGTTGTATCTCACCAACATTCCGAGATATTTTCCATTATAGATTAAAATGGTCCACCCTGTATCTACAGGGTGTACCACCTAGAAGTGGCCACCCTCTTTTATCTTTTAAACTAAAAGAGATAGACCATAACAAATATATATGAAATTAAATGGCTTTAACTGAACTTTATTGTGAGCATAGTGGTTGATTACAAAATTTATCTGTGTTAAAGAACGGAGAGATATGTATAATTTTTTTAAAATAATGTAGATATTTTGATATAATAAAAGTTGTAGCGCTGTTTGAAACGAATATAACGATGCATAATTTAATGTAAATATTTTACATATTATACGAGATTTTCCGGCTTGAAATATCGCGGGCGACGTCCACTATTTCATTTTCGGCTCTGCGATATAGCCAACTTCTGACTCGTGCATTAGAAGTTGACATATGTCATGTTGTGATAATCATGATACTCAGTGTACGAAAAATATAAATAGAAAGCTTATGATTAATTAATATAATATCTAATATTACAATGGATGCGAATAATTTTAATAGAATGCGAAGAATTTTTACGTGCTAATTTTAATCGTACAGCTGCGGTACGAATGTACCGAGAAACATATCCTGATGATATACCAACACCATCAAAACAATCATTTCGGAGGTAACAAATAACTTTATAAAAAATAAAAATTAATTAAAAAATTTAACTAAACATTGCACATTTATAAGATACATATTTCACATTATTATTCGATATTTTACATGTAGATTGGCTGAAAGATTAGAACACGAGGGTAACGCTGCAAGACGTCAACATTATGCAGAACATCCTCGTAAAATGGAAAATTATTCATGTACTGTTTATTTGAGGTATAAAGCAAGAATTTAATTCTAAATAAATTACATTTCCAGTTTTACAAGTTACATTTTCTTTTATCATTTACTTTATTATTAATTTAATTAAATTGAATTAGTCCTTCGCTATATCCCATACAGCACACAAATATCCGAAGGACATCCATAAGATGATCATTAAAGATATCCACAGATGATCCATTTTACGTTCTTTGGACATTCATGAACGTCTGTGGTATATCTGTTTATGAAATTGGTGGATATGCTTTAATCCCTAAATAATAATATAATTTATCTATTTGATATAAAATTGTATATAAAATTTTATATAAAAATTTTATTTATAATTTATACTCGCATATTGCAGTTTACATTTTAAATAGGTAATGAACGAATTATTTTTGTTTATTTTCCGGATTTATAAGTCGGATATTTACTTGTTCAACTTATAAAATCAATTTAATATCTGAAACTCTTGTATTGAGATCAGAAATTAAATTGACCATATTGTTAATCTTATTTGTTACTCTTTGCAAACTTTATATAATTCTCATAACTAAAACTTAAATACGAGAAGGATAGCGCATCGCATGTCGCATAGCGGTAAACTAACACATCCTTGTGTGCTCGCGCGAAACTTTGACATCCAAGATCGGACATTTTGTGGACGTCCAAATATTGGTCGTTAACGGATGTCCCGAATCGGATGTACGATGAACGGTCATTTCATGTCCATGAACGTGCGGACGTAAAATGGACATAAAATGAATGTCCATAGAATGACCTGTGCTGCCTGGGATGAGATATAACTACGACATAACATAGGTTGCGTTCGCTTTGTACGCTTACGCACTGTGAGCATTATTCTGTCTTTATTGCACATCGAATATCAAACGAAGATGGAGCGATGCTTTCAGCGCTAAAACCGTCAAAACGAACGCAGCCATATTAGATATATGTCATTTTCTAAGAAAATTCTAATTAACTTGCCGATAATATTGTTATTTAGCACCTGTAATAATCAATTTTGTTGCATTTATATAACATTAATAAAAGTAAGCGCAAATCTTGTGAAGTTTCTGCTGTTAATTTGCCATCAGGTTGCATGCCCAGATTCTGGTCGGTTTCTGCTGACAATCTAACATCAAATTGCACGCGTAGATCTTGCTCGATCTCTGCTGTCAATCTGCTGTCAGTTTATGCTAACAGATTCGGCTAGCCAAACCCAAGCTTTAAAGGTGCGGCCTCATTGACGCTAAAAAATAGCGTCAACCATTGGTTGAACAATTAAGCAACTACTTACTTTTTTGTTCAACCAATGGTTGACGCTACTTTTTAGCGTCAACCATTGATTGAACAAAGAAGTAAGTAGTTGCTTCATTGTTTTACCAATGGTTGACGCTACTTTTTAGCGTCAATGAAATTGCACCTTAATACGGACGCAGTTGATGCCAATCTGCCGCAATATTCTGTTTGAATCTGCTCGCATGCTGCTGGCAGACTGTTAACATTTTACTTTCTGGTCGTTGTCAGGGCAACCGAAAGCATAACACAGGCCATGCTACATGCCAGGTTGCATTCAGCCATTTATATATTTTAATGTTGCATTGTATCAGATATAAGTTGCATTACTTTGAAATATTTTCTTTTTCGCGATAGAAATCCGCAACTAACTGCATCATGAGTGAAAATGTAAAATTTATAGTGACAGAAATAAATAAATTGTTAGGACGGAATTATAATGTAATTGGGTTTAATGCCTTAACTGCTGAAGATTTATTGCAGGTATCTAATTGCTGTTTAGTGTATTATTTTGGTAAAGTTCTAGTAAAACTTTAGTAAAATATATTTTTTGTAGATATTATACAATGTTCTTATGAAAATACAACAACAAGATGGTTTAGATGATGTTAGATTGGACTCTGCAGAAGAACATTCTATATATATTTTGACAGTTCTCCGAATACTTAATTATCAACCTAATGTGGATCCTACAACATTTAGGTATAACACATATAATTTATATAGAATGTTCTAAAGCATTCTTAACAACACTTGTTAGGAAGTAGAGTGCAATATATTGTGAAAAGTATATTATTTTAAAATTTTCACAATAATTATTGAAATATTAAAAAATGATTGGCGAATGAACGAGCGTTTCACGCGATTAAACTATGAGATGCGTAATTATATAGGTTGCGTTCGTTTTGATGCTTTCAGCACTGAAAGCATCGATCTATCTTTGTTTGTTATTTGATGTGCAATAAAAACAGAATGATGCTCATAGTGTGTGAGCGTGCAAAGCGAACGCAGCCTAAATGTGCTAGTAACGAATGTCACATGGCAAAGGAAAGTTTGGTTGTGTGTACCTCACTTCTCGTTTTTTTTTTTTGTTATTGTGCCATACAGCACAGAAAGATTGCAAAAACGTTGCATAGACCTAACGTTGAAACATAGTAATATTGCATAGAAATTGCGAAATATTTCTGCAACATTATTGTTTGCAGCAACGTTGAAATGTCTGTCCTCAGAAATAGAGTGAGGCCCAGTTGCGCACAGAATAAATCGAACACAGGACTCTCTCGGACTCTCTATTTGTCAACCGTGCTAGGCCTCTAGGCATCGGTCGATATGATTGATTGTATCCGTTTCACTCTGTGCGCAACTGGGATCTTCCCCAGAAATATTACAATGTAAGATTGTAGTAATATATTTGCAACGTATTTGTAATATTAAAACGTGTTTTGCTATAAATGCAGACCGTTTTAAATTTAATAAATAAACTGAAAATATAAAAAAAAATGTTTAAGAGAGATAGGAAAGAAACATTTACCGCCTATAAAAAAAAAACATTACTTGTGTAGGAATATAGAATGATGCTCCGACTATATACGTCAATGGATGGCAGAAATTATGTTAAACAATGCACAATGCAACCGATTAAATTATATTTTAATAAAAGAACGATACATTGAATTGTCTCTAGTTCGGCAACTTATACGCGATCTCAGTCTTTCACTCAAATACAATAATATAAAAGAATTTCAGTACGTTTTAGACGATCCTTTAACTCGTATTTCATACCGTTCACCTCATTAGACGGTCCTTCGCTAACTGCCTCCTATACCGGCTTATTTCGAATTTTTATATAGCTCGTGTTGAAAAGTGGTGCTACATCACCCTCTTTAATATACTTCGTGTTTATATACACGGTGTCGCAATCTTTCTAAATATCAAAGTTATAATACATAAAATAATAATATACATATATATATATAACGCTGGCGCTTACAGATTCGGCCATTCTGACATTTAGTTCGTCCTCGAACTATGTCCGTCTAAACTAAACTTTTATCCATGGTTTGATCTTGTCTGAGGAAAGAATGGTATTCATTGGTTTTTGCGTAAGATTATAGCCTGGTATGTTGGTTACTACGAATCGATTTTTTTTAAGTACAGTCTTAATTTGATACGGACCCTTGTATTTCGGTAGCAATTTTTGATTAACGTCCGGTTTATACTGCAAAATTTTGACAAGTACGAAATCTCCTTCCTTATAACGTGTGGGCTTTTTATGTGTTCTATCGTAACGGATTTTGTTATATTCTTGGACAGCTCTATTTACTACTTGCGCTGCATTACGTAATTCCAATCTTTCTTTTTCTATATCGACATCTAATTGTATTAGCTGATTAATTAAATCTCTAAGCTCGTTATCCGATCTTTGACGCTGATCATAGCCTAATAGTATTTTACTCGGAGTAGTGTTAATCGATTTGTGCAGGGTGTTATTTACAACAAATTGTACGTTACCTAATACATTTTTCCAATCTTTAGTATTTTCGGTTAGTTTTGACAATGTAGATTTTAGAAATCGATTCACTCTTTCGACTTGTCCATTAGCCCACGGAGAAGCAACAGCAGTCATAACATGTTTTATCTTTCTCTCGTTTACAAAGTAAGCAAAATTTTTAGAAGTAAACGCAGTACCGCGGTCGCTAATAATTCGTTCAGGCAAACCAAATAATCGAAAACAATGTTTAAACTCTTAGTAACTTCATCTGTAGTAGTAGATTTAGTTGGAAAAAGCTAGGTAAATTTTGTGAAGGCATCTACGACAACTAAAATATATTTATAACCGTTTGCTGTAGCTTCTAGCGGCCCAAAATGGTCAAGATGTATTGTATGAAGCGGCAGAGCTATTTTTTCAAATATTTCCAATTCGCCTTCCGGTTTTCCTCCAACCAATGAAAAACTCAAACATTTAACGCAATTTTCGATATATTCTTTCACACGTAATTTGAGACAGGGAAACCAATAGTGACTTAAAATACCATGTATAGTTTTGTCTATACCGACATGTCCCATTTCGTCATGATAAATTCGTATTATGCTGTAGATCATATTTTCGGGAACGACAAACAAATTCTTATCCGCATATTTACGAAAAACAAGACCTTCTATTAGTACAAAATATTTATGATCTTTGGATTCCAAGTCTTCAGCCAATTCTTTAAGTTTTGGATCAGCCAGTTGTTTATACATTAATTCATCTTCTACGGAAATTAAATTTATGCTCATAAAGTTACGACTAAGACAATCTACATGTGCCATTTTTCCTGATACTCTATGAATTAATTCAAATTTATAATTCTGAAGAGTTAGACTCCAGCGTGCTATTCTCGGATTAATATTGATCTTTTTCATCGCCAATACTAAAGAATTAAAGTCGGTTATGATACGGAAGCTAATACCCTGTAGATAAATGTGGAAACGTTCGACAGCTCTAACAATTGCTAAAGTTTCTAATTCATAGCTATGATAGTTTTTTTTCGATATCGGTAGTCGCTCGGCTAAAATACGCAATGGGTGCCATAACATTATCTGGCTGCTTTTGTAATAAAATTGCACTAAAACCATGCCCTAACAGCACACATGTCCAAAAGATGTCCAAAGGACATCCATAGAATATCCCGATCTCCTATGGATATCCTATGGATATCCTTTGGATATCTTTCGGACATGTGTGCTGTTAGGGTGACTGCTTGCATCAGTGTGCAGTTCAGTTTCTGCTAATGGATTATATATTCGTAGTACCGGTGAGGTGGTTAATTCTACTTTCAATTGCTTGAAGGCTTGTACGCATTCTTCGCTGAATGTGAATTTCGCATTTTTCTTAATTAGCGCTTGTAACGGCCTAACTTTCAAAGCATAATCTCTTATAAATTTTCTAAAGTAATTAGTCAAACCTAAAAAGCTTTGTAATTCTTTTACATTATTCGGTTGCGGAAAATTAACGATTGCTTGAATATGTCGTGTACACATAGTGATACCTTTCCCTGTAATTAAATATCCTAAGTACTCGATTTCTTTTTTCAAAAACGTACATTTTTCTAGATTTAATTCCAATCTGTATTTCTTTTTAAATAAATCAGTACTTCTTTTAAAATTTCTAAATTCTCAGCAACAGTACATGTAGGTATTAGTATATCATCTATATTAAAATTTTATTAGAACGTATAAGTGGCTCGAATATTTGCAAAACTCTTTTCTGAAACTCGGTAGGTGCCTCTGAATATCCAAATGGCATTTTAACAAATTCGTACTGTCCAGATGGAGTAGCGAACGCAAAATATTTACTATGTTCTGGATGGATATCGCAATTTGATGAAAACCGTCCTTCAAGTCTAGTTTCGTAAATATCTGTTTGTTTCCTAATTTATCTAATTGATCTTCTATTATTGGGAAAGGATATTTTTGTGCAAATATTCTTTGATTGAGTGGTCTCAAATCAATACACATTCTTTTCTTACCGTTTCTTCGCGACACTAAAATTACTCGAGAACAATAGGGTGAGATACTAGGCTTTATAATGTTTCGGTTTAACAAGTCGTCTGTAATTTTTTTAAGATCGTCTTTTTCTGCAATAGACATTCGTCGCAGCGCGTATCTAAACAAATAATTATCTTTCAAATGTACTTGAACGTTATAATCATACGTTATAATAATAACGTTATTATCATTTACTTTCGGAATATCCATATTATCTACTTCGACAAATGTATTTAATAAATCGCGTCTATCTTGTAAACTTAAATCATTATCTAGATTATCACTAATCGCGTCATATGGTTCTTTATTTTCGATAACATTTATGGTAAGAATATCCTGTGCTAAACATTCAAAGTTATCAACAAGTTCAAACGCAAAATTATTTTTATAATACGTTAACTTCAAATTTGAATCATTAATAAATTCGCGACCAATAATAACGTCGTAACGCATGGTTTTGTCATCGACAACTAAAAACGTAATATCAAACCAAGAATCTTTTATATTTTCTAAGATAATCTGATCGTGAATTTTACCATACATTGTTATAGGAGACTCATTTATTCCTTTATAACTATTTTCTCTCTTGACTCTTAATAGCTCTCCATTATGATACAATTTTTCATAAACCGATTTCTTAATTAGATTAACTGGACTACCTGTATCTATTAAAGCACGAATTGATATTTTATCGTTATTTACTCTACGTATTGAAACACATAATTTCGCATCGCTATTAGCGCCTAATTGATGTACATCCTCCGTAGGTTGATAGGCAGCCACAATCGTTGATGAAGAAGGGAGTATTATCTGCTCGTCCAGATGATTCAGGGTCGTCGCAGAGTTGACTTCTTTCTTAGGACAATTGGAGCTAAGATGTCCTGTTTGACCATACTTGAAACTCGTCATCTTGGCGATTCGGCAGTTTTTAGATAAATGATCAGGTTTTTTATGTAAAGCACGTCTTCTCGGCAGCCATACTACTTTCGTTTGGAGTTTTTCTCACTGGATATTTAGTTGACTCTTCTCTCCGTATGACCACATTATCCTCCGTGATTCTGCGTACATGCTCAATAAAATCAGGAACGTTTGTGAGCCAAGTATGTAATACCTGCCTTCGAAGGTTGAAGTCCCTCACACCGTCCGCCAAAAGTTCAATTTTTTCCTGCTCTGAAAGAGATAGCGACTGCATTAGATTTAACTTTGCTTCGGCGTAGTCAATAAATTTTTCGGTATGCGACTTCCAAAAGCGAGCGTTGATTCGCGCCATGATTGCGGAGTAGGATTCTTTTCTTTGAAAATATCGTTTCAGCTACAATCGGAATTCCTCCTAGGTAGATACTGCATCAAGCGGCTGGCGATTATACCAATTTAAGGCACGGTCGTTCAATCGACGCACGGCAGCAAGAAGTAAGACATCAGGAGTAAAATGATACATTCTCGCAATACCCGCAATTCTCTCGAGCCATTTTCCGACGTTTTCTTCTTCTTTTTCTGAAAAAGTAGGAATTAGTTTTTCAGCATATTTTACATGCTGCCAAATATTAGCGGAATGGTTGCCATTTCCGTCAGCTACATGCGCATCCTGCATATGTGGGGATGGTACGTTTGCCACTGAAGATGCCGGCGCCTGTTGCAATGCCTGCACCACGGCGTCAATTATTTGTTGAATATTAGGCGTTGTACCCGCGAGGTGCCTAGTCATTCCTGCTCCAGCAACAGAGTATGCGGATTGAGATCCATGCTGTAAATGGCCTGCAGTTAGTTCACGTCCTTCCAAAGGAATCTCACTGTTAGAGGACGGATCACTTCCAGGTTCCTGTGTACTTTCCGTCGAGGAATGCCCCTGGATAGGATTAGGCCATCCTTCACGCTCATAATAGATTAAGAATATTGTCAAGAATATCTCCCCGTGTTCCTTTAGAATCCAACTTTAAACGTGATGCATGTGCTCGTAATTCCTTTATCGATAACGACTCTAACGTCTCCCTATTCATATTGATTCGTTAAAAGATTCGGTCAAAGATATCAAAACAAATCCGACAACAGATCACAGACATCTACCAACGAATCCCTGGTTTTCTATCGTCTTCGCTCTTGAAATCAACAAGAAAACAATATCGAAGGTCGGTTATCGATCCGTTTTTTCGACAATTCAAATAGCGCTTCAAAATTTTGGCAACGGCTATTGCTGAGTCATGTACCCCACGATAGAATTCTCTGTGACGTAACTCCGGTTCCGAAATTGACACGTGGCGATCTCGAATATTCTCGAATGTCGAAGAGAAACCAGCTACGATGATATTCGGGAAATTTAGAGCAATTTTCCACTTATAATAATTAACAACTAGTCCCAGAATACTCTTCTCCTGCCTCCGTTTCTTTTGATGTCTCTTCCTCCTTATTTTATAATCCGACAGAAAATCACACGGTGCACTCCACAGTAGACTTCGCGGTGAATAATCCCACTTCTGAAATTTTGCGGGACTGTAGGAATATAGAATGATGCTCTGACTATATACGTCAATGGATGGCAGAAATTATGTTAAAGCACAATGCAACCGATTAAATTATATTTTAATAAAAGAACGATACATTGAATTATCTCTAGTTCGGCAACTTATACGCGATCTCAGTCTTTCACTCAAATACAATAATATAAAAGAATTTCAGTACGTTAGACGATCCTTTAACTCGTATCTCACACATTCACCTCGTTAGACGGTCCTTCGCTAACTGCCTCCTATACCGACTTATTTCGAATTTTTATATAGCTCGTGTTGAAAAGTGATGCTACATCATCCTCTTTAGTATACTCCGTGTTTATATACACGGTGTCGCAATCTTTCTAAATATCAAAGTTATAATACATAAAATAATAATATACATATATATATAACGCTGGCGCTTACACTTGTGTTTTTTTATTAAAGTGTTTTTTTTATTAAATGTTTCTTATTAAATATTTATCTCAATAATATACACACAATTATTTTACATACACTCGACACCAGAATATTTTAATACGTGCAATAAATGAATTATTTCCTATTTACCCATTCAATGAAGAAAAATCTGTTTAATATTTTGAATCCCAACAAGAGATCCAGATTATTAAACAAATTATTTGTTTAATAACAATAATAATCTAGATCTCTTATTAGGATTCAAAATATTAAATAAATCAAGTCTGTTTATCAGAAATTTAACTGACACAAGACAAGAAATATAATTACTACATTACCTTTGTAGGCCTTATATCCACTTTAGATGAAAATTCGAATACGAGTTAGTTAAATTTTGTGTCGTCACATAGCGGCAAGTAAAGAAACACATGTTATACATTTTCGCTATGTTAAAATGTTGCTGCAACATTGCCAAAGTAATATTATAAAATAATATCTCTGTAATATTTTTGCAGCATTATATTGTAATGTACAATGTTGTAACATTGCAATAATATTGATGCAAGCTTCTGTGCTGTATAAGGTGCGACACTTGCTGCTGGCACGCCTAGAGTGCACATCCTGTGATATAATGCACATAAAACGCAATTTTTTTTTATTTTTCCCAATTTCACTTTCTCTAAAAAAAATACACAAATTATTCTTCGAATTACTTTTTAATTTTTGTTATTTTTTTATGTATATATAAGTTATATACATATAAGAGAAAAATGTATAGATACGTTTCATATACAGGATATTTGATAATAATCATAGCACTTTTCGTGCAAGAAGAGTGGATTAAATAAAATAGAAAATATCTATCTTTGCACGATTTTCGTAATAATGGTGAGCAATTAATTTTAAAAATCCGTGCGAATATAGAAGTGCAGTGAAAAGAACTAGACTATTACTTACATAATTTACTAGACAAGCGATGTAGAACTGGGAATCAAGTGCTTAATTATGTATATTATACTCGCACAGATTGATCGACTTTTACAATTAATTTCTCATTACGAAAAAAGCACAAAACAGGATTTTGTTACTCGATTTAATCCACTCTCCCTGTATACGAGAAGTGATATACTATCGGATGTGTGGTATAAATTATATATTTTTTATTTTATCATTTTTTTCGGATCTGAATAAATATGAATCTATTAAAATAATCTTTTTTATAGTTAAAATACCTATACTATGCATCTATGTAAAAAATGTACAAAAAAAAGTTAATTTGTTTAGACAAGGTTTAGTCCGAGGTGAAATCGAAATTATCCATCCTATATTGACATGGCTCTTGACGCATATTGATATAGTTCAGAAAAGAGCGTATCTATCACGATTTCTCGTCAAGGTAATGTATTGAAATTGTTTGTCGAATGCGCGTGATATTTAAAATGATAAATTGCCACCATATAATAGAATAATAGAAAAAAAATATTTTTCTTTGTTAGATAGAAATTTCACCAGAGTATTTAGCAGACTCGGAAATTTCCTCTTTATACGAACAGTATTTATCCTTAGTCGATAAATTTAAGACAATTCATAAAGAAAGAGAAATAGGAAAGAAGGTGTGTAATCATTAGATATGTATATGTAATCATTAAAATATGTATATGTAATCATTAAATTCTTTTTATTTTTATTACATAAATAATAACACTTTTATTTATGCAGAATGTTGAAACTGCCGTCGAATTGGCAACAGATCTACAAGCAATGGAAAAAGAAAAAGAAGTATGTGATTAATATTGAAAAAAATTATTATTGAAAAAATGTATTATTCATATTTATTCAAAAATATATTTTGTAGCATGAAAATCCGGTTCATTTGAAACAAATTTACAGTCGGAAATATATAGTTGATATATATGATGCCAAATTAATATCGAAAACCAAATGTTGAAGTAAAATTGAAATTTTGATTGAATCAATATTAGAATGATATAAATATTGAATCAATATTGAATCAATATTAGAATGATATAAATTATTGATGAATTTTCAATTACCCATTTTTGGATATATTATATATGTTTCTTCTTAAATCAATTAATTAGTTATATCCAAATGCTTATAAATTAAAAGTCACTTTAGATAGTCTTATTTATAATTCATGGAGAAAATTAAAGATAGAATTTCATTAATTTTATTAAATAAAAAACATTTAAAGAATAGTCATATAAAAAATATATATCACTTATATTTTATATGAAACTAGTTTTTTATATGAAACTAGTTTTTTATATGAACTTATAGTTTATATGAAACTAGTATTTTGTATGAAATTAGTTGGCTTTGAAGCCAACATTGAATTAACATTACATTTCTGACTGAATATGAAAATTTAGTATATTAATATTCAAATTACTATTTTGTTACAATATAGGCAGTGATTGTGCGTATTGGTAAAATCAAATCAAAAGCTGAACTTGCATTGCATTTATTGGACGCCTGCAGATTATTACGAATAGAAAGAGATAAAGAACGTGATTTAATATTGGAGAAAGAGCAAGAAAAGGATACTATGTTTAATTTACAAGTATATTTTTTTGTAAACCATTATTTTAGACTTTATGAATATTATATAACTCACCATTATATATACCTATTATATATATTTCAGCTTTCTTTATAAAATACTTCTTTTTTATAATAATTATGTGTTTTTATTATCATTTAGAATTCTCTTCAACGAGTTGAACGCGAGTTACACGCTTTGAAACGTGATAGTACTGGACTCACACCGCAAATATTAATTCAACATTTGACAGAAGAAGTAACGGTGCAATCTGCAATCATAAAAGAAAAACTTCCATCTGAATTAAACGCAAAAAAAAATTGGATAAAAGCTTTGTCAATAGTGAAGGAATATTCTTATTTAGGTCCAGATAAAATCATGGTCATGAGAAACGATTTGGATATAATATTAAAGAATATACAAGATTTAATAGAATCGAAAGTGCGTATAGAATAAAAAAATATACTCGATATACAAAAATGTGTATATCTAATGTACAATGATTTATATTCAATAATATATTATATATTATTTAATAATTTATGTATAATGATTTATATTCAATAATATATTATTTTAACAAAAGTTTTTTTATTTGCAAATATTTATTTTTCAGATATCTAAAAATGATATTGATAAAATGGAACCGTTCCGACAACAAGCTGCCGCTGTTGGAAATATGAAACGAAATGCTCTCGAGCGTTTAGAGAAGATCGAAAGTTCTTTAGAAGAATTACAATTACGATTAAAAGAGAAACAAGATTATTCGAAAAGTTTATTGCAAACATCGGTACCTAGAGCGGAGGAATTAAAAAAATATATCAATCGTCTAAAAACTAAGAGTACAGTATATAAACGATGCAAAACAGAGATAGCTGGCCTACAAGCAGAAAATGGTGTACTTCATCGAACAGCGGCTATTTTAGACGTAAAGGTGATATTGGAATATGCTCTGCTCCTAAAAATGGATATACAGAGTGTCCCAAAAATCCCGGACCGGTCGAATATTTCATAAACTATGCACTTTAGAAAGAAATGTTTCAGACAAAAGTTGTATGGCTTAAAGGGAGCCATCAGATAGTGGCAATGATTTGACCTTGGAAAGTCATTTGAAGGTGACGTAAAAGTCACCTTCAATTTCTTAAATGGAACTCCCTATTTTTTATTACATATTCGTGTAGCTTATCTCGAGAGCTTTCCAAAACACTAAATAAAGTATTTCTTCATTGAGTACTTTTCGAGTTATGAGGCTTGAAATAATTTCTTAATTTTGCATAAACCATAAAATATCTAATAAAATATTCATTTTTCGATTATCTTACCTTAATACTTTTATGTACAAAATAATGAGAGGAATCAATTAGTGTAAAGAAAAAACATAATTGTTTTTAAGAAAAAAAATATGTAATTTGCAATTAACAATTACATTTTTTTTTTAAAAACAACTATGTGTTTTCTTTACACCAATTGATTGCTCTCATTATTTTGTACATAAAAGTATTAAGGTAAGATAATCGAAAAATGAATATTTTATTAGATATTTTATGGTTTATGCAAAATTAAGAAATGATTTCAAGCCTCATAACTCGAAAAGTACTCATGAAGAAATACTTTATTATAGTGTTTTGGAAAGCTCTCGAGATAAGCTACACGAATATGTAATAAAAAATAGGGTTCCATTTAAGAAATTGAAGGTGACCTTTACGTCACCTTCAAATGACTCTCCAAGATTAAATCATTGCCACTATCTGATGGCCCCCTTCAAGCCATACAAGTTTTGTCTGAAACATTTCTTTCTAAAGTGCATAGTTTATGAAATATTCGACCGGTCCGGGACTTTTGGGACACTCTGTATACAGGATGTCTGTCCTATCATCCGCCAAAAAAAACCATAAGTAAATCTCGTTAAACCGAACTAAAAAATTATATATTCGCGGCGAAGTGACGGGTGAGGCGCTCTCCAAAACATGATAGCGGTGCGTGGAGCTTCAACGTTGCGTTGATGAGTAAGCCTCGTCCATTACTTCGATGCGCGCCTAATATTAGATTACACATGCACATAAAGATTGCATACACATTGTAGCAATCTTTCACCGCAATATTTCAACGTTGCAAATTCACTGCAAAATGCTGCATTGTTGTAGGATTGCAGCAACGTTAAAATGTCCGCTTTTAGGAATATTACAATGTAAGATTGTAGCAATGTTACGGTGCAACATATTTGTAAATATTAAAATGCGTTTGCTACAAATGCAGACACCGTTTTAAATTTAATAAATAAACTTTGAAAATATAAAAAAATGTTTAAGAAAGATAATAGGAAGAAATGCTTTTAAGAAAACATCTATTAGTGTTTTTTATTAGATGTTTCTTAAATATTTATCTTAATAATATACATACAATTATTTTATATACATTCGACACTAGAATATTTTAATACGTGCAATAAATGAATTATTTCCTATTTACTCATTCAATTAAGAAAAATCTGTTTAATATTCTGAAACCGAATGAAGGATCCAGATTATTAAACAAATTATTTGTTTAATAATCTGGATCCCTCATTAGGATTCAGAATATTAAGTAAATCAAGTCATCAGTTTATCAGAAATTAAACTGACACAAGACAAGAAATATAATTGCTACATTAATCCTTTGTAGACCTTATATCCATCTTAGATGAATTCGAATACGAGTTAGTTAAATTGAGTGTTGCCGCGTAGCGGCAAGTAAAGAAACGCATGTTATACATTTTCGATATGTTAAAACGTTGCTGCAACATTTGCCAAAGTAATATTACAAAATAATGTCTCTGCATTATTTCTGCAACATTACACTGCAGTGAGCAATATTGTAACATTGCAGCAACGTTGATGCTTCTATGTAGGGGCAATGGAACGGTTTTTTTTGCTGCGCGCTTATACTCGCACGTATTTACCGATCTTCTTTAATTAATATCTCGAAATTTTACGGTTTTCAAAATGGTTCATGGCTTTTTAAATTGGTTTCACGAGATCTATTCATAGTTTTTTGGCGGATGATAGAACGGGCACCCTGTATACACACACACACACACACATATGTATTTTATATTATGTGTTTTTTTTTCAGATTACGCATTTTTACCCAACAGATGTTGTATCTAAAGTAGTGATTCCAGAAAATTATACATTAGAGAACGCATTAGCAACAAATAATCAGTTGTCTCATTCAATATTGGCTCTGCGTACCAATCTTGCTCCAATCATAAGAGGTTATAACAAAATCTTATGCCAAGTATCTCACACACATCTTATCTAAAAAATTGTTTCTTAGTGAATTTCATACAAGCTTTAGAATTTCATAGTTCACGCTTAATAAAAGTTTCGATCAACTCTCACAACTCTCACGACACAACTCTCTAGAAGTTATAATTTAGCATGTAGAGTATTTAAAGTTAATGATTTTTAGAACTTTTTTGTGAAAAGTATTAGCAGTTCTTCGCGAATAATAAGTGAAATAACGCAGAAGTCATTATGAAGGTATTGGCAATTCGAGTCTGATTCAAACTTTCCTAACCACCTGTTTATAGAATCTAGTGATCGATCGAGCTAGTGTATTAGTAGACAGCAGTGCTACAGCACTGGCCCATTACTATGTATCAAATAAATATTTATTCAGAGATTTAATTATAAAATCTTATCTTCATTTTGTCTAATCTTTTCTGTATGTAAAGCCAAGATTTAGTTAATAATTTACTAATAACTATTATTATTAGGCGATCATTTGTATTCTATAAACGGATGATTGAGAGAACATGGATAAAACTTAAATTACATACTTCTATGTGATGAGTTTTAAAGTCCTCTACTTAAAATTTGCAAAGAACGAATATGTTAATTTCGCAAAAAAGTTCTGTTATGTATCTAATAGTGATAGAGAGGAGATAGGTGCACGGTCCTACAGTAAACTAATTTAATTTATGGCTTAACTAAAAGATCTTCTTTTATTTCCTCAATTACTCTAATATAACCCACACAGCAATATGACTTCTAAAAGTACTCTTAAAGAGTTCTCACGTAAGATTTAGACATCCGAATATATCTTCTGAAAGAAGACTTAATGACTTTAGAAAGTAGTCTAATGCACCACTTTAAGAAATAAGTAAGACTTCTTTTTTCTGATTTCTTAAAGACGACAATAAAAACTCTTTTTTTGAGAATTGATGTTTCGGAAATAATATTTTTATTTCAATATACATGTATTGAATCAATTATTACAATAATTATTATCAAATATTAATTAAATAAATTAGTATAATAGGTATCAAAACTTACTTGCAATTAAATTTTAATTATAGATTTAATTAGATTTAATTAGCACTAAAGCGTTTCACTATCCAGGCAGCACACAAATATCTGAAGGACATCCATAAGACGACCATTAAGGATATTGAGAATATCCAGATGATCCGATTTATGTTCTTCGGACATTCAATGGACGTCCATGGTATATCTGTTTATGAAATTGATGGACATGCTTTAATCCCTAAATAATAATATAATTTATCTATTTTATATAAAATTTTACATAAAAATTTCATATAAAAATTTTATTTATAATTTATACTTACATATTGCACTTTACATTTTAAAATAGATAATGAACGGATTATTTTTGTTTGCCAGACATTTACTTGTCCGACTTATAAAATTAATTTAATAATCTGATATTCGTGCATTTAGATCAGAAATTAAATTGAACAGTATATTTTTTAATCTTATTTGTTACCGTTTGCAAACTTTATATAATTCTCATACTCAAACTTAAATACGAGAAAGATAGCGCATCGCACGTCGCGTAGCGGTAAACGAATGAATTAATACATCCTTGCGTGTTCGCGCGAAACTTTGACCTAGCCTAACCTCTAAGACCGGACATCGTATAGACGTTCAAATATTGGCCGTTAACGGATGTCTCAAATCAGATGTACGATGGACGTTCATTTCATGTCCATGGACGTGCGGACGTAAACTGGACATAAAATGAATGTTTATAGGATATCCCGTGTTGTCTGGGATATACAGGGTGATTCTAACTAACCTTATGGTTTTGCAAAGACATAATCTTGATCGAATTCTAAGACGATTTTTCCTTTGACAAAAAAATTTCATGCAAAGCATAGTTTTTGAATTATTAAGAGAAATATTTTACTTATTACGGATCGGATACAAGAGGCATGCAAGGGCGGCGCAACTGACCGTCAGACGCGAAGCGTCTTCGGCGATCAGCTGGTCGCTATACTGTGTACGGACATACATTGTTTTTTATTTTTTGATACGCAGGGGAAATCCTCATGGATACCCCCTTTCTCCCCGGGGAGGGAGAGAGGGTTATGCCGGACTCCTACCGGCTAAAACCCCTGCGGGTGTCCTCCACCGCGATGTCACGGGGGAGCCACGGGCACGCCACAGGCATTCTTCCGCGACTCCCCCACCGCAATCCCTCGTTGTAGCCGGGAGGGAGGACACCCGTCCGCCTCCCGGCTCCGTCTAATGGGGTTCTGTCCCGGTGGGAGATTTCCCCGCTCCACACCGGGGTCCCCTCGCCGCGGCCCTTGAACGAGGCCTCTTCCTATGCCGGGTGGGGGGGAAGGAGGGGGGCCACCAGGTAGACCATCAGGCCCTGCCAGCCCCGGAACCTCCCTCTAGCACCCACCTGTCCACCTAGCCTGCAGTGAGGGAGGGAGTGGGCCCCCAACAGCGCCCTTCCCCGCTCAATCAGTCCCGTGCTGGGGCCTGGGGCACGGGTCGCCTTCTTCTCCCTCGCCGCATCCTCCGGGCCGCGACATCCTGCGCTTCCGGGGGCGGCATCCGTCGACGATCCCTCTCCGCCTCCTCCTTGGTTCTCATGACCTCCTTGCAAAAGGACCACCCTCCATTGCTCCTCTCCCTGCACCATGACCCGCACCATGACGCGGAGGGAGAGATCTTCCCCCACTACCGCGGCCAGGGAACGGCGCTGTATCTCCCAGGCCGGACAGGCCTCGAGAGTGTGCTGCGCCGTGTCCTGGTCTTCCCTGCAGTGGTGGCATTCGGGGGTCGCCTCCCTCCGATGCGGCACAGTAACCGAAGCAACCATGCCCGGTCACCACCTGCGCCACCTGGAAGGTGATGCGCCCCCAGGTCCTCCCCAGCCACTCCCTGAAAACAGGGAGAACGGCCCCCACTACTCTTTGGTCCTCGTGGGCCGGCCCGACTAATTGCCGCTGCCAGTCCACGAGGACCAATTCCGTCGCTTGACGGTCAATGGACCTCTTGGGCCTCACAGTGGTTCCCCTCCCCACGGAGCTCCTTTACTCTCCAATATGCGGCCGACTGGCCACGCGCCAAGAGCTCCAAGGGGGAGGGGGGAAACCGCCAAGATTGTCGCCGCCGCATACGCGACAGTGCGGTATGCGCGCGGCCTTCAATACAATGAGGCGGTGTGCCCCCCGTAGCACGCCCCTGATCCTTCTGGACCTCGAGGCTGCATCCACCCAGATCGAAACCCCGTAAAGGGCCACCGATCCGACCGTGCCCACATATATCCTGCGGACACGATCGTCCGGCCCCCCCCAGGTTGGGCCAGTGAGAAGTCAGATGTCCCAGAGGAAATTCGTAAAAAGAGAGGGGGTTTTAGTGGGTAGGGAGTACTGAGTTGATAATTAGACTTGTACTCGAGTCCCACATAACTCACCGGACCGAACGGTGAGTATACATAAATACATTTTCCCCTCTCTTGTAAAAAAAAAAAACGGTACAATATAAAAAAATAATTAAAGTGAAAATGTGTAACAATAAAAAGTAAATAATAATTTTAGTAATAATAACTTCGAGTAAGCAAATGAAAGAGAGGGGGGGGAGAGAGAGAATGTATGTATTTGCATGTATGTCCGTGCACAGTATAGTGACCAACTGATCGCCAAAAACGCCCCGCGTGAGCGCCCGCGTCTGACGGTCAGTTGCGCCTTGCATGCCTCTTGTATCCGACCCGTAATAAGTAAAATATTTCTCTTAATAATTCAAAAACTATGCTTTGCATCAAATTTTGCCAAAGGAAAAATCGTCTTAGAATTCGATCAAGATTATGTCTTTGCAAAAACATAAGGTTATTTAGAATCACCCTGTATAAATTGCAAAACGTGCTCTATCCGATTTTGCTATCTGGGTATATATATATATATATATATATATATATATATATATATATACAGGGTGTCCCATTTTAATCCATCCAATCGAATATCTCGAAAATCAAGCTTGAAAGAGAAAAATGTTTCAGACAAAAGTTGTATGGTTTCTAGGGAGACATAAGATGGTACCATTGGTTTGACCTTGAAGAGTTATTTGAAGGTCACATGAAGGTCACCTTCAATTTCTTAAGTGGAACCTACATTTTCTCATTACATATTCTTGTAGCTTATCTCGAGAGCTTTCCAAAACACTATAATAAAATATTTTTTTATTGAGTACTTTTCGAGTTATGAGGTTTGAAATCATTTCTGAATTTAACATAAACCGTAATATATCTAGTAAAATATTCATTTTTCGATTATCTTGCTTTAATACTTTTATGTACAAAATAATGAGAGGAATCAATTGGTGTAAAGAAAACACATAGTTATTTTTAAGAAAAAATATGTAATTTGCAATTAACAATTACATATTTTTTCTTTGAAACAACTATGTGTTTTTTTTTACACCAATTGATTTCTCTCATTATTTTGTACATAAAGGTATTAAAGCAAGATAATCGAAAAATGAATATTTTGCTAGATATATTACGGTTTATGTTAAATTAAGAAATGATTTCAAGCCTCATAACTCGAAAAGTACTCAATAAAAAAATATTTCATTATAGTGTTTTGGAAAGCTCTCGAGATAAGCTATAAGAATATGTAATGAGAAAATGTAGGTTCCATTTAAGAAATTGAAGGTGACCTTCATGTGACCTTCAAATAACTCTTCAAGGTCAAACCAATGGTACCATCTTATGTCCCCCTAGAAACCATACAACTTTTGTCTGAAACATTTTTCTCTTTCAAGCTTGATTTTCGAGATATTCGATTGGATGGATTAAAATGGGACACCCTGTATATATATATATATATATATATATATATATATATATATATACAGGGTGGGGAAAAAGTATGGAAGCAAACAATTATTTCCGAAACTATTCATTTTTCGACAAAATGTCTTAGACATAATTTTTATGGTATGAAAAGATGTATTATGTGGCATAGACGGCATGACCTTGAAATGACCCTTACGAGCTGCATACAAATAACGTAAAAAATTTCAAATGGAACTCGTCAGTTTTTGTTACAGATTCTTGTAGCTGATGTCGAAACGTTTACAAAACACTGCATATGAGCCCTATTCCCTTAAAAACACTCCCAGTTACGAAACAATTGTGATAATTCGTATCGACGAAATTGAAAATAGACAGCGTACGTGTGATTACATGAATGTGTGTAACGCGAATGAACGTCATTATGAGAGATCAGTACAACAGTAGCGATTACTGCAACAAATGGAGAATAACCCGCTTCGATCATTTTTGCCGATACGAAAGACACGCGAAATTCGTAGAATCAGTTAAGGCGTACATCGATAGAAAACGACAAAAATAGCAAATTTTCAAAATACAATATCCGAAACTTGTATGCCAATTGACACTACTTTTTTAAGGATAAAATAAATGATAATAATAAATAAGGTAGCGATGATCAAGAAATCAAAAAAATTCTATGAATACTCATAGACAGTGTATCATATGACAACAGGTACAATTACATGTTATTAGTGGACGCAACTGAACGTCATGATGGGAAATCAGTAAGCAATGTCAATGTGCATACAAATTGTTTGTATCACAATTGTTTCGTAACTGGGAGTGTTTTTAAGGGAATGGGGCTCATATGCAGTGTTTTGTAAACGTTTCGACATCAGCTACAAGAATCTGTAACAAAAACTGACGAATTCCATTTGAAATTTTTTACGTTATTTGTATGCAGCTCGTAAGGGTCATTTCAAGGTCATGCCGTCTATGCCACATAATACATCTTTTCATACCATAAAAATTATGTCTAAGACATTTTGTCGAAAAATGAATAGTTTCGGAAATAATTGTTTGCTTCCATACTTTTTCCCCACCCTGTATATATATATATATATATATATATATATATATATATATATATACAGTGTGTCTCATTTTATTTTTGTTAGTCAAATATCTTGATATCACTTAGAGTGTATATTTTATAGACATCAAGACACTGCGCCAAACAGCGCGTGAAACTGACGAAAGATATCATAAGGCATATAAGAGTCATAACACAGTAGAAACAAATATGAAAAGTACTACGAGTGATTTATTATCTGAAACGAAACAACTGAAAGACAAATTATTAAAGGTAATTTATATATCAGAGTGTAAAGTCTACAGTGTATGTGAAATAACATTGTCATTGTATTGCAGAATATTCAAGAGAAAAAAAAATTGCAACAAAATATTGCAAAAATGAAAATTACCGAAGAAAAATTACGCAGTGAAACAGAGGTAGTATAAAATATTCAATATAAATTAACAATATTGTTATTTTTATCATTTATAAAATTTACTGTCTTTTATTTCTTTTAGACTAATATTGATTTTAACAACGTAAAAGAAACATTAAAACAGGAATTACAAAAAGTTATCATGTTAGAAGAAGAAGCTTTAAGAAATTTGAATAAGGAACAAGAAAAAATAAAGCAGCACATTATACAATATGAAAGTCAAACGCAACAATGGAATAATATTATATCGTAAGTAAAACAATTTACACACATTTATTTATATACAAATATCTATATACAAATATACATACATAAATATACATATACAGGGTGTCCTATTTTAATCGACGACCCCGAATAACTTTTTTAATTTTGATTGTAGGACAAAATGTTTCAGACAAAAGTTGTATGGCTTGAAGGGGGACATAAGATGGTATCATTGGTTTTATCTTGAAAAGTTGTTCGAAGATCACATGAAGGCCACCTTCAATTTTTTTAACGGAACCCCCTATTTTTTATTACTTATTCTTGTAGCTTATCTCGAGGGCTTTTCAAAACATTATAATAAAGTATTTCTTCATTGAATAATTTTCGAATTATGAGACTTGAAATCATTTCTTAATTTTACATAAACCATAAAATATCTAGTAAAATATTTATTTTTCGATTATCCTACCTTAATACTTTTATGTACAAAATAATGAAAGGAATCAATTGGTGTAAAGGAAAAACACAGTTGTTTTTAAAAAAAAATATGTAATTTGCAATTAACAATTCCATATTTTTTCTTAAAAACAACTGTATTTTTCCTTTACACCAATTGATTCCTCTCATTATTTTGTACATAAAAGTATTAAGGTAGGATAATCGAAAAATAAATATTTTACTAGATATTTTACGGTTTATGTAAAATTAAGATATTATTTCAAGCCTCATAACTCGCAAAGTACTTAATGAAAACTAACTTAATATTATAGTGTTTTGGGAAGCTCTCGAGATGAACTAAAAAAATATGCAAAAGCATACAGGGTGTCCCATTTAAAAAGTTGGATGTGACCACGTGACCTTCAGGTGACTCTTCAATGTCAAACTAAAGACACCATCTTATGTTCCCCTTCAAGCCATACAACTTTTGTCTGAAACATTTTTTTCTACAATCAAAATTAAAAAAGTTATTCGGGGTCATCGATTAAAATGGGACACCCTGTATATATATGTAACTAAACAAATATACATGGAGTATATTATCAGATATAAGACAACAATTCAAATCGAAAAGTCCTGAGTTATTTTTTGATTTGAGCTTTCTTTTTGTTTTTATAACTTAAAGTTAGTTAATCAGTGTCTGTCTATAGCGAAAAGCAGAAGTCGAAAAATAGCAGGGGGTAGAAGATCGGAGAATAACGAGACACTCCCATACAGCACAGAAAGATTGCAGACATACTACAGAATAATTTTATTAAAATATTGTAATATTGCAAATCAATTGCGAAACTTTATGCATCATTGTATCAGTGCAAAAGTTCGTGCCCGATTCGTACATATGGCACTGTTGAAGTTGCCTAGCAACTCTGTTGTTGTTTACATATGCATAATATATATTATTGGAAAAATAACAGTCATAGGTGTCATTTGAGCATTAGAAATTGCTTGGTTTGGTTAAATTTAAGTCGTGAAAAAATCATTGAAGATGGACAAGGAAAAGTTGCATTTTCGACATGTGATGCTTTACGAGTTTCGGAAAGGAATAATTGTTGGCGCTGCGACAAAAAATATTCAGGAGGTTTATTTGAACCGTGCACCAGCACTTCGAACGGTGAAGAAGTGGTTTGCTAAATTTCGTCGTGGTGATTTTGACCTCGGAGGCGAACCTCGTTCTGGGCGTCCTTCCGACATCGATGACGATGTTCTGCGCGCATTAATAGCAAACAACACACGCATTTCGACGGAAGAGATTGCTGAGGTCTTAAACATTGATCGATCAACCGTGTTTCGGCGTTTAAAGAAGATGGGACTCACTTTAAAGCTCGACACTTGGATACCGCATTCGTTGTCCGAAAAAAACAAGTTGGACCGCATCTCCACAGCCGTTTCTTTGCTCGGACGATTGGAAAAAGAGGTTTTTTTGGATCGTTTGGTGACTGGCGATGAAAAATGGGTGTTGTATACCAACGTCAAACGCAAGCGTACTTGGAAGGAAGCAAATAAACCGGCAGATTCAATTGCCAAAGCTGAGTTGCATCCAAAGAAGATCTTGCTCTCTGTTTGGTGGGATTGCCAAGGTGTTATATATTTTGAGCTGCTTCCTGTTGGTCAAACGATTGATTCAATCAAGTACTGCCAACAACTAACCAAATTAGACGCAGCAATGAAAGAAAAACGCCCGAGCTTGGTTAATCGTAAAGGCGTTATTTTCCACCATGACAACGCCAGACCACACACATCGAAAATGACTCTGGACAAATTGAAACAATTAAAATGGGAAATCTTATTGCATCCACCATATTCTCCGGACATCGCACCCTCCGATTACCATTTGTTTCGGTCATTACAAAACGATTTAAATGGCAAGAATTTTGATTCTGTGGAGGCTATCAAAAATCACATCACCGCGTTCTTTGACGCAAAACCACGTGATTTTTTCAAACGTGGTATCCATACATTGGTTAAACGTTGGAAAATGATTGTCGAGAACGGTGGCGAATATATTATTGATTAATAAAGGCGGTTTTATAACAATAACAACTGTTTGATTTTTATTTACAAATCGGGCACGAACTTTTGCACTGATATATGTATACATATATATGTATATACTTGCATCATTATTTCCCATTTATCAGTTTAATTTCTGATAAACTAACTATATAAGAAATATATTTTGAATCTTATCTTAATATCAATCCTTTATATACATTTTATGAGAAAAAATTGAATACGAATTAATAAAGTTTGATAATGCCGCAAAGGAAAGAAACACATTCTATATACACAATATTACAGAAACATACAAAATGTGAAACTTTTTTTAGCAACTTTTTTATGAAAGATTTTAGAAATATTGCAAATACAATATTATAAAAAACATGATGCAAGTATATTTCTGAAATATTTCAAACACAATATTGTAATTGAAATGTTAATGAGTTAGTTAAGTTTGGTATAGTGCCGCATAGCAGCAAAGTGAAAAAACATACTCTAAATATGCAATATTACAGAAAAATTAAAATATAAAACATTTTTTAGTAAACATTTTTATCTTTCTGAAAGATTTCGGAAATATTGCAAATGTAATAATATAAAAACATGATACCAGATATATTTGTTAAATATTTCCGAATTATATACAAAATTACAATTAAAATGTTAATGAAATATTTTTGAACAACATTTAATAATATTATATTCCGAGTGGGTTTTGAATTTTAACGAGAGATTCAGATTAGTACAAATTATTTTAAAATGCCAATTTATCAAAAATTAAACTGATAAAAGAAAAGAAATATATTTTGAATCTTATATTAGTATTCCAGTTCTTTATATCTATTTTATAATGAAAAATTGAATACGAGTTAAATTTAGTGTTATCACGTAGTGGTAAGCGAAGAAATACACACCACGTATTATTATATATTTTCGCTATTTTAAAATCTTGTTATCACATTGCTGAAATAATATTGTAAAATAATGTCTTTGCAATATCTTTGCTACATCACATTGCAATATACAATGTTGTAACATTGCAACAATGTTGCTGCAAGCTGTAAGCTTGTGTGTTGTGGGCTCTGTGACAAACAATGATGAGCTAATTTTATCACTATATATAAAAAAGAAAGAAAGCTTAGATTAAAAAAGTGGCTTAGGATTTTTCGATGTAAATTGTTGCCTTGTACCTGATAGTGTACTCCATGTATGTTTGTTTAGTTACATCCTCTATACAGGATGTCCCATTTTAAATAATGCATCAAGATTTTTCGAAAATTATCCTAGATAGGAAAAATGTTTTAAACAAATGTTGTATAGTTCGGAAGGGGACATAAGAAGGTATCATTGATTTGACCTTAGCGTCGTTAAGGTCAGGTCAAGATCACATCAATTTTTTAAAATAAAACACCATTTTTATTTTTGATACCAGAATCTCATAGTTGATAACAAGAGCTTTTCAAAATACTATAATGAAGTTCATTTTCATTAAGTATTTTCCGAGTTATGAAACTCAAAAATTACAATTTTTAGCATTAGTATCGGAACTTTAAATTTATTATCTTCTTAATTGTTCTCCTCCAACATCGTACAACATTTGTTTGAAACATTTTTCTATATCTACCACAGTTTTCGAGAAATTTTAATGCATTATTTAAAATGGGACACCTTGTATGTGTGTATGTGTGTACTCAAATTCGTGATAAATATTTTAATAACAAATTTTTTTTAACATTCCCATATAGCACTAAAAGATTGCGAAAACGTTGCATAGACCTAACATTAATTGAAACATTGTAATATTGCATAGAAGTTGCGAAATGTTTCTGCAAACTTGCAGCAATGTTGAAATGTCCGCCCTCAGAAATATTACAATGTAAGATTGTAGTAATGTTACGGTGCAACGTATTTGCATCATATATATAAAACGTGTTTTGCTACAAATGCAAACCGTTTTAAATTTAATAAATAAACCTTGAAAATATAAAGAAATGTTTAAGAAAGATAAGAAAAAAACCTTTACTGCCTTTAAAAAAAATATCTCAGCAAACACAGAATATTGCAGCAACATTGCTGCAATGTTGTAATATTGCCGCAACATTGCTGCAATATTGTAATATTGCCGCAGCATTGCTGCAATGTTGTAATATTGCAGCAATATTGCTGTAATATTCTGTGATTGCTGGGATCTATTAGTGTTTTTTATCAAATGTGTTTTATTAAATATTTATCTCAATAACATACGTACAATCATTTTACATACACTCGTAGATCATATTGGAGTACTTTTTTCTGGAGAATCCAAATCTGCAATAAAAAATGAGGGTTCCTATTTAAGTTTTTTATCTTCTCTCATCCCCACCCCCAGGGGGTGGCGGTAGGGGATCGAGTTTGGTATCATTGGATGTCCCCCTTCGAGACAAACAACTTTTATTACCCACTTTTTTTGATCCGATGCATAGTTCTCGAGATATTTCAATATGTCTTCAGATAAATCGGCCACCCTGTATATTCCACCAAAGAGACTTCCTGTGATACAAACACTG